AAAATACATAATGATCACAAATTAACAACCTATTGTCACATCTGAAGGAACTAGAAACAGAACAAACCAAACCCGAAGGCCACAGAAGAAAAGAAATAAAGCTGAGAGCAGAACTAAATGCAATGGAAATCAAAACAAATAAAAAACAAACAAACAAACAAACAAAAAACCAATACAAAGGATCAATGAAACAAAAAGTTGACTCTTTGAAAAGATAAACAAAATTGATAGACCACTAGCCAGATCAACCCGAAATAAAAGGGAAAAGACTCAAATAAGCTCAGTCAGAAACAAAAAAGGAGACATTACAACTGATACTATAGAAATACAAAATATCATCTGTGAATACTACAAATACCTTTCTGCACACAAACTAGAAAACCTAGAGGAAATGGATAAATTCCTGGAAACACACAACCTTCCAAGTCTGAATCAGTGAGAAATAAAAATCCTGAACAATGAATAATGATCAGTGAGACTGAGGCAGTAGTAAAAATATCTCCCAACAGCAATAAAAAGCCCAGACCAGACAGATTCACTGAGAAATTCTACTAGACCTACAAAGAAGAACTGGTACCTCTCCTACAGAAACTATTCCATAACATTTCATAGGAGGGAATCCTCCCTATCTCAGTCTACAAAGCTAGTGTCACCTTGATACCAAAGCCAGGAAAGGACATGACAAAATAAAACAAAACAAAACAAACAAAAAACTACAGCTCAATATGCCTTATGAATATAAATGCAAAAATCCTCAACAAAATACTAGCAAACTGAATTAAACAGTACATCAAAAATAATTCACCATGATTGAGTGGGTTTCATCCCAGGGATGTAAGGATGGTTCAACACATGGAAATCAATAAACATGGTTCACCACATAAAAGGAAGTAAAAACAAAGATGACCTGATTATCTCAATAGATGCAGAAAAAGCACTTGCTAAACCCCATCAGCCTTTCATAACAAAAACCCTTAACAAACCAGGCATAGAAGGAGCACATCTCAAAAATCTAAAAACCATATATGACAAACTCACAGCCAACATCATACTGAATGGGGAAAAACGGAAAGCATTCTCACCCAAGAAATGGAAAAAGAAAAGGGTGCCCACTAACAGCACTTCAATTCAACACAGCACTGGAAGTCCTAGCCAGAGAAATCAGGTAAGAGAAAGAAATAAAGGACATCCAAATTGGGAAAAGGAGGTCAGATTATCCCTGTTTGCTGACAATATGATCTTGTATCTAGAAAATCCTAAAGACTCCATGAAAGTAATCCTAGGATTGATAAGTAGATTCAGCAAAGTCTCAGGTTATAAGTTCAATGTATACAAACCAGTAGCATTTCTATATATCAATAACGGTCAAGCTAAGAGTCAAATGAAGTACTCAATATCATTCACAATAGTTACAAAAAAATAAAATACCTAGGAATATACTTACCTAATGGAGTAAAAGATCTCTATAAGGAGAACTATAAAATACTGATGAAAAAAATTATAGGCGACACAAACAAATGGAAAAATATCCCATGCTTATGGATTGGTATGATCAACACCACTGAAATGTCTATACTGCCTAAAGTGATTTTCAGAGTCAATGTAATCCCCATCAAAATATCAATTTCATATTTCACAGATCTAGAAAAAATAATTCTAAGCTTCATTTGGAACCAAAAAAGAGCCTTAAGCAAAAAGAACAAATCTGGAGACATCACATTACCTGACTTCAGATTATACTACAAGGCTATGGTAAACAAAACAGGATGGTACTGGTATAAAAGTAGAGACATAGACCAATGGAAAAGAATAGAGACCCTAGAAATATAACCATAAAGCTGTGACCAAGTGATTTTTGACAAAGCAGACAATAACATACACTGAGAAAAGGAAGCTCTATTCAATAAACGGTGCTGAGAACATTGGATAGCCATATGCTAAAGAATGAAACAGGACCTCTACCTCTCATCATATACAACAACTAATTCAAGATGGATGAAAGACTTAAATGCAAGGCATGAAACTAAAGATTCCAGAATAAAACACAGGAAAAAAAACTCTTCTAGACACTAGCCTAGGCAAAGAATTTATGAGTAAAACCCCAAAGGCAAATATGGCAACAGTAAAAATAAGTAAGTGGGACTTAATTAAATTAAATATTTCTTCACAGCAAAGGAAAAAATCATCAGAGTAAATAGACAACCTACAGAATGGGAAAAATACTTGCAAACTAACAAAGGGCTAATTCCAGAATCTACAAAGAACTCAAACAAATCAGCAAGGAAAAACAACCTCATCAAAAAGTAAGCAAAGGCATAATCGGAAGTTTTTCAAAAGAAGATAGACAAATGACCCACAAACATATGAAAAAAAGTGTAACATCAGTAATCATCAGGGGAATGCAAATTAAAACTGCAATGAGATACCACCTTACCCCTATCAGAATGGCAATATTAAAAAGTCAAAAAGCAATAGTTGCTGGCATGGATGTGGTGGAGAAAGAACATTTATATACTGTTGGTGGAACTGCAAATTACTACAACCTCTATGGAAAATAGTATGGAGATTCGTCAAAGAAATAAAAGTAGACTTACTATTAGATCTAGTAATCCCACTACTGGGTATCTACCCAAAAGAAAAGAAGTCATTTTATTAAAAATACACCTGCACTTGAATGTTTATTGCAGCAAAATTCACAACTGCAAAGATGTGGAATCAACCTAATTGCCCATCAGTTAATGAGTGGATAAAAAAAATGTGTTATATGTATACCATGGAGTACTACTCAGCCATAAAAAGGAATGAAATAATGTCATTTGCAGCAACTAGGATAGAACTGGAGACCATTATCCTAAGTGAAGTATCTCAGGAATGGAAAAACAAACACCACATAACTGTATAATAACTGAGAGCTAATTGATGGGCACACACAGACACAAAGAGATATAAAGAAACCAAGAAGGGGGGAGATTGTGGGGGTGATGGATAAAAAGTTACCTACTGGATACAATGAATTCTATTCTGGTGAGGGGCACAAGGAAAGCCCTGACTTCAGCATTATACAATGTGTCCAAGTAACAAACATTTGTACCCCCTTAATATTTTGAAAAAAAAAATAAAGAAAACGATAAATTAAAAATAAAGAGTATAGACACAATGGAGGGCAGAAATGATCAAACACAGTATTTAAGAAAACATCCTGCGAGTGGAGGACACGTTTCTACACTGAAGAAAACAGCTCAGCACGGAGCACAGCAGATGAAAAAGAGCCCGAACAAGGCACATCATCCTGAAAATTCTGAATGCAAGGGGCAGACAGAAGAAGCAACGAGTTTTCAGAAACAGAGAAAGAACATACAAAAGGAGAGAAGTTGGAATGGCAGGGCAGCCTGGTGGCTAAAGGACGATGCAGCGATGTCTCCCAAATTCTGACTGATGTGTTTCCAGACTGGAATTCTACTCCAGCCAAACTCCCAATCAAGCATTAAAAAGAAATGCAAGGTCTTGAAAAGCTCGTATCCAGTGTGCCTTTTCTCTGCAAGTAAACTAAAAATGAAGAAGCTATGAACTTGCAGGAGCCAGGATTCCAACCCCAGGGCTGGAGGAGGGAGGGCCCAGGAAGGCAGCCGTGGGCTGGCCGAGCAACTGTGCAGATAGCAGCATCAGGGCTCTGGGGAGGTGACACTCCTGGGTGCCCCCATGTCTAAATGTGGTGAAGGGAGCTTGACGCTGAGGGAGGAAAGTTGGGGGTGAATTTGGGGCAGGTCTGCAGACAGCTAAGCAAATGGAAGAAGGCAGACATTAACTACAAGAAAACAGAAATAGAAAGGAACTGCAATCAGCACATACTCAGCACATACTCAGCTTTGGACTGCTTCCGCACTACCTTAATGTGGATATCGTGCAGAATGATTCTAGAGGAAGTGGGCTGGGGAGTGGATGAAAGAGAGCTAAATACTCACATTCTTTGCTGGGAAATTAATGGATAATGCTTAAAATCAAAGCTAGTCATTAATAGCAGGCAGCAGTATAGAAAAGAAACAAGATGCTGAAGTACACACACTGTGTAACCTCATTAGAGGGAGCGCGAGGTCTGGCCAAACTAACCAGCGGTGACAGCCTCAGACAGGTTGTCACTACTGGGCAAGGGTATCAAATGGGATGGGACCTGAGAGAATGTTCCGGAGAGATGGAAATGACGCAGACCTAGATCTGGGGTGTCATTACCCAAGTGTAAAAGAATATAGACATTGCTCAAGCTCTCACCTTTACACACCTCACATGCATATGCATTTTAAACCAACAAAAAAAGGAATAGGAGAAAAAGAGGCAGGGCATGCAATTTGTCGATACAGAGGAAGCACAAAATGAACAACTGAGAAAATTGAAAGTGTCTCTGGAGAAGCAAAGTGAGGAGAGAGAAAAATTTTTCTGTGCTAAGCCTTGTAGAATTACTTGATGCCATGAAATTATGTGCATGCATAACTTCGGTTTTGTAAAGGCTGAAACAAGAATCAATTGAGCGCACAAACTCCCTGCCACTTTTGGTTTGCTTCCTGCCAGGCAAGGAGCACACCAAACCTTTTATTTCAATGAGAAAAGGACTGGGCAGGAGATGCCATGAGGCCGTCCGTGAGGCTGGCTTGAATAGCCCCGTCCGTGAAGGCCCTGCCGGCTCTGCCCCTGTGTGTGGGCAGGAAGGGCTGGCACCACCCAGGCACCAGCTCTAGGCCAGGCCTAGAGGTCAACTGACAGAGGACGTTCTGTGGAGGGCAAGAGGCACTGCCCACAGGCCCTGTTGCTTTGACATGGCAGTAGCAGTGGCTCTTGGGAACTTCCCTGGCACCTGGCACACAAGCAACACTAGCATTCTGCTGCGTGTGATCAGGCCCAGAGACGAGGTGATGCCATGTGACTGGGGCCCAGACTGGCAGAGCTGACACTGCACGGACAGGACAGGCCTGGGCAATGGCCTTGGCCACTTACCCCCACCTGCTCACCTCGCAGGTTTCGGATAAAGTCCTCCAGCATCATCTTCCGGTCAGGCTTGATGTTGGGGCTGTACATGTCGGTGTTGAGGAGGATGATGGCGAAGGCGAGGATGAAGATGGTGTCAGGGTTGTGGAACTGCTGCACCACCTCGGGGTTGCACATGCAGTAGCGCTGGCTGTGGCGGGAGACACAGCGTGACGCTGAGCCCTCCCCGCCTGGGCCCCAGCAGTGGGGGCTACTAAGGGGTATCCCTGCTCCCTGGGGGCTGGAAGCCCAGGGAGATCACTGTCTGCCCGTGCCCTGTCCTTTTCCTCACTGAGGGGCCACTGTCACACCCCCAGATGCCCTGCTGTGCCCGCCTGGCACACAGGCTCAGCGAGGCCTGCTGGTGGGCGGGACGAGAGCATGGCAGCCCCCAAGGGCGGTGCTGCTCCCGGCTCAGGCGCTGCGGGGCGCCTGCCCCTTTGCTCGCCTGCCCTCCTTTATCCCCGGCTCACCCTCCTGCCACACCAGAAGGGGCTCTCCATCCCCAACCAGTCCTCTGGCACCTCCCTGGGGCATCTGGCGGGGTCTGGCAGGGAGCTGGGGGCCCACCTGAAGGCCTCGATGAGCCGCTCCACCTTCTGGGCCTCGCCCTGCACGCGGATGTGCGCCTGGAACTTGCGCAGGGCCTCGTCCAGCTCCATGCTAGAGAAGTCCATCTCGTCCACCACGCAGCTGCGGGCAGGAGCACGGAAGGCATGAGGAGAAGCTGGCCCCAAACCCCTGCAGCCCCCACTCCCTGCTGGCCCTGCCTTGCCCCCTCCTCTCACACCCACGGCAGCCCGTGAGGCTGGCCAGAGTCTGCCACTGCCTCCTGCAGCCCCGCCTGGGGCACACAGAGGTCTGGGCAGCCAAGGCCACAGATCAGGGCTGAACTCAGACCTCTGGCCCCAGTCCCGCATTCTCTACCCTCCTCAGAGTATGTCAGAGTTGAACAAGCTTTTAACAATAAATGAGACAAGAAACACATTTATTTTACCCAGGCGAATTCCCACTTTCCCTCCGGGCCTCCAGCCGACCGAACTGTGGCCTGGCCGTGGCGTGGCCGGACGCTGAGGGAACCAAGCCCCCAGGCCCCTCCTAGCTGCCCCAGCCTGCAGGGGAGGCTGTGGCGGGAAGGCCGTGGCCTCTGAAGGGCAAGTCACAAACTCGGCCTAATGTGAGGGGACAGCGTGCCAGGCAGGGCTAGGTGCTGCCTTCCCTCGGGACTCGGTGCGACTCTGGCTCTCCGCCTCACTCTTGGAGGCCCCATTGGTTCTTCTGAAAAGGGAGGAGGCTGGAGTCCCTGCTCCCGAAGGCCTTTCTATCTCTGAAGTGCCGCCTCCCTGGTGGGGGTCTCTGAATGTCCGCCTCAGTGCGTTGGAGGAGGAGGGTTGCGTGCCAGCCCCTAGCTGAGCAGGCTCCTTCCCCCGGCCATGCCCCTCCTGCCACGGGTCTGGGGCCAGGGCCGCCCCGCACCCTCCTGCCTCACATGCCCTGAGCCAGGCTGTCCCTTCAGTGTCTTAGATGCGCCACGCAGGTGCCAGCAGCTCTGGAGCTGGTGTCTCCCACCTCCCTTCCTGCCCCACGCTGCACCCCAGTCTCCTCTCAGCTGGCTACTGCCCAGCCCCACGTCACCCCACGCTGCCCACTCCAGGTCAGCAGCCCCTGTCTGCTCCCATCGTCCCCTGGCAAACTCCACAGCGGTGTCACATCCCTGGGCATCAGCTGGCTGCCCTGCACGGTGGGCGAGATGGGCCGCGGCTGGGAGCCCAGCACACCGAGGGCTCAGGAAACACCTGCCTGGTGGCAGCGTGGTGTTGGGGTGAGCTCTGAGCAGGACCTGTTTCCTCTACACTCCCAGCCCAATCTGGGCCACTGCCTAGAAGACTCAGAGAGCCCAGCTCTGCTCCATTTGTGGGAGCAAGCAAGGAGAGAGGAGGTGGTGGTGGGCGGGGCCCTGAAGTCTGGGGATCTCCCTGCACCTTTCCGGGGGAACGAGGATGGAGCTGCCCGGGCTCCAGAGGTGGGAGGGGTGGGGGGAGAGAGCTGGGGCTGCCTTTCCTCTTCCTCCTGCCAAGGGCAGGGCCCGCGGCCACCTTCAGGCTGGGAGCCCACCCGTGGCCTGGTCAAACCCTGCTCCTCTCAGGCTTGGGCATGGAGAGTGAGTGGGTGACAGGGTGGGCCGGGGGGGGGCAATGCCAGTGTCTGTGCATTTGCAGTGGGCGGCTGGGTCGCAGAGGCTTGGGGCCAGCTAGGTGAGAGGCTGCTCTGATTTCTTGGTGGCCCCTGTCACCTCCATGCTGCACAGACAGAGATGAAGGGTGAGTCAGTGCAGACTAGGTGGTGTTGGCTTGGAGCACCTCTCACCCTCGTGGGGCCCAGGAGGGGGCAGTGGGCCCAGCTCCGCCAATCCCGGCCAAGAGAGGCCTGGAGCCCCGCAGGGCCCCAGAGTGGCCCCGTGTCCCTCTGGTCTGGCACTGGTGGCTCTCCAGGACTTGCCCCCACCTGCTCTGCCCCATCCCTGCCCCTCCACTGCCCTCCCACTGTGGGCCCTGAACCCTGAGGGCCTGCACCTGGCTTTCTGAGTCTGTGTCCCTCCCCGACCCCTCTCTGTGCACCTTCTGCCCCAGAGCTTGGGCCAGGGCTCACCCCACAGTGCTGGGGGCAGGTGCTGGGTGGCCCAGGGCGCCGAGGGGGCAGGTGGCTGGAGGAGGCAGCAGGAGCAGCTGGCAAGGGCAGGGTCTGCTCAGCCAAGCGCGGTGGCCTAGTTTCCAGCCTTCACGCAGGTGACAGGCAGCCACTCGCTTGCACACTCGGGGCTACGGCTAAAAGCTCCAGTGATGAACCAGGAGCCCAAGAGCCAAGGGTGGGGCTGACGAGAAGCAGCCGGGTGGGAAGGCCCACGGAACCTGAGCTGAATACGGTTGGGGCCCACGGCCAGAGGGCTACAGGGGAGGACCCCTGGGGGCTGGAGGGGCCGCTGCTCTAATATCACCAGTGTGCCCTGAGGACCCCATGTTAGAGCCAGAAGGTGGTTTGTTAAAATGCAGATCCTTGGACCCCAGCCCAGATCCAGGGGATTAGAACCCTGGAGGCAGGGCCTGGGGGTCAGCATTCTTCACACGATCTCCAGGTGATGCTTAAAATGTGAAAACCAATAGCTGAGCTGAGGGCAAAGGCAGGAGGGGCTTGGCCCATTGGAGGCTTTTAAAATGTGAGCCCAGGAACTCGCAGGCCATCATGCAGCTGCCTCAGGCACACATGCCCCACTGGCTATTGGCAGTGAGGGTGGTGAGGGTCGGATGGATGGAGGCATGGACAGAAGCAGTCCCCCCATCCCAGCTTCCTGCCTTGTTCTCTGCAGTTGTCACCGTGGGCAGCCGTGCTTGGTGAGCAGGTGCTGGCCTGGGGCCCTCAGACCCTGGGGGAATCCACAGCCCCAGCTGGAAGGGAGGAGGCTGTGCTGAGTGGTGCAAAGGCATGACCCTCCTCCTCCAGGCAGGCCGCTGCCTCCTCGCTGTAGGGTTAGGGGTGGGACCAGGTGTCCTTGCAGGCCCCTCACCTGACATTCTCTGATGAGGACCCAGAGGCAGAGAGAGCCACAATGGGTCTCCACGGGCCCTGCAGGTGCTCCCGTGGGCAGAGGGCAGATGCCTGCAAGGCCCCTCGGCTGGTTTGGTGCACCTCCCCAAGACCTGCGGCTTCTTCCCCTCGCTCTTCCCAGGGGGTCGCGGTTTGCTTTCCAGGTGGGGCCTGCGTCCTTCTGGGGAGTGGTGTTGGAAGCGGGACTCCCCAGAAGCACCCACGGTCTGTGCCACTCCCAGCACGAGCTGTTCTTCACCCCGCAAGTGGAAGCTCCAGCCTGCACCTTGCCCCCCACCCCCTCTGCCTTCTCCCACCTCTGCCCTGCTGCTGCTCACATTTCGCATCACCAACCTCCATCTACTGCACGTCTCTCCCCTCCTTCCTCCCTCACCACCCTGGAGCCCTGTGGGGAGCAGAGCATGGACAGCTGACCAAATCCATCCTGTTGCCCTGACCCTGGATGGCCAAAACCCTCTCTCCTCTCTGATCCTCTTTAGGGGTGGAAGCATCACACATTCAGGCGGTATTTCCTGGTGTGCAATCTCCTCACTTTACTGAAAACAAACTAAGACCATGTAGGGCTTGCCCCACATCTCCACTGCTAGGAAGAGCAGGCGTTTGGCTTCCTGGTCCGCGAGCTCCAGCCCCACCCACAGGGCAGGGCCCTTGTCCCTCCACGATGCATATGTGCTCTCTAGTCGCTGCCTCTTTTCTCCCCTCCTCTGGGGAGCCAAACTTCTAGAAGACGTCCTTGCTCATGTTGTCCCCACTTCCTCACTTCCAGCTACTTTCCAACCTGCTCCACTCAAGCGCCCACCACCAGGGCCCCACTGAAACGTCCCTTGTCAAGGCCGCTGCCGGCCACATGCTGCCAAATCTAACGGGCTCTTCCGCCCTCTTCTGAGCCCCTCGGCAGCATCAGCATGGCTGACCACGCGCTCGGGAAACCCCTCTCCGGCTTCCATTGCTTCACCATGCCCAGGCAGGCCTCCTCCTCTCTGGGGGTACCCCTTATCCCCTGCACCCCTTCGCCTGACCTCTGACTCAGGGCTGCCCCCAAACCCCGGCTCCCTCTTAACAGCCCCTGTCCAGGTATCCTCTCCATTCCAATGGCTCCTGATGCTGCCCTCGTCAGGGCTTTTCTCCTGCAATGCCGTCACCCCGCTCCTTCGTTAGCCACTAACCAGCTAATTTCTCCTGGGTTGATCCCTGCTGTTTATAAGAGACCATGTGAAGCGATGGCGCTGAATGTGGGTGGCTTGGGTGAACCGCCGACTCTGCGTTCGGTTCAACTGGACCACAGCCCTTCTGCGTCGAGCCAGGCTGGGTGTGTCCAGGCACTGCAGTCTGAGTGTCAGCCCCTGGGCAGCAGTCACGGGAACATACGTGTGCGGTGTCTCTAGCAGGGAAGTCGGGGTGTGCAGATTTTCCCAAACCCAGCATCTCCCTCCCCCTAAAATGGAACATATCTGCCTGCTTATGATTTGGGAGAACGTGCACCAACACGGTGGGCCAGAGGCACAAACACGTCCACGTGCAAACAGGAGTGTTCTGAGTTCTCAGGGCTTAAGAGGCTGCTGGCTGAGAGCCGGCACCTCTGCTCCCTCCCATGCTGGTCACAGCCCCACTGCTTCTCCAGGGCTCTGCTTCCCTCTCCTTTTCCCATGGCCACTGTCATGGTTTAGGGCCTCATCCTTTCTCACCACACTGCTACAGCAATGGCCTCCATACCATCTTCCAGAGCAACCCTCCTATCCTGGCTCATGCCCCGCTCACGTTTCTTGAACGGCTTCCCACATCCCTTGTGTGAAACCACGATTCACAGCGACACAAACATGGCTTCTCGAGCTCCCAGCTGCTCTTGCCCCTCCCAGCTTGGCTCCCCTTCTGTGCAGGTGGTCCTTCCTTCCTGCTACCTGGCCCAACCTTGCACTCTCTGCCGCGCTCTCAACCTTTCTAGGAGTCTTTCCAGACCTCCACAGTACCCCGACGTACCCCCTGCCACCGCGCAGATCTCCCTGCCTCAGACTGCACTTGCCTGTCTTCCCCAGTGGGCTAAGGGCTCCTTCAGGAGCGTGCCTAGGGCACGCAGGAACTCAATCAATGCT